TTTTTAATCTTATTTTTATTTTTAGCAATTTTAGAAGTTCCTATTGTCATATTCTCAAACACAAAGATGTTCAGTCTACCAATTAGCTTATACCGTATTTCCCCAGTGTTTTTGATCTCCACCATTTCTTTCTGATTCTTAGAATTCCCATTTCCCTGTTTACATTATCCATCTATTCCTGCATATTGCCTATTTTCTCCATTAAAGACCTTAGCATATTGATCATAGGTTTTGTTGTTGTTATTGGTGTTTGTTTTAATTCCTGGTCTGATAATTCCTATATCCCTCTGATTCTGATGCTTGTCAATATCTTCATTTTTGCCTCTTAGTATGTTTTGTAATTTCTGTTGAAAGGTGGGCATGATGTACTGGGTAAGCATTCTTTTCAAAAATTTATTGAGGTGGTATTGGTTAATAAGATCATATAGGTTTCAAGTACCTTTCTATGACACATGATCTGTATATGGCATTGTGTGCCCACCAATTTGACTGTGGGTGGTGGTTAAGCATTCTATAGCCATATGAGTGTGTCTCAGTGCTTTGGTGAGATATCTTTGGCTACATTAAGGGCTGTGGTTTCTGTGGAATGGCAGGGATGAAAGTTTGAATGGATTTAGGAAGATGGAAGTAGACTGTTTGGAGTCATCAAGTTTAGGCAATCTTTAAGGAGTTGTGTTTCAGAGAGATCAAAAAAAAACAAACAAACAAAAAACCACCAAATAGTTAAATGAAATAAAAAAGAATCAGCAGCTAGTAAAGAAATCAAGATATGGCTTTTTAAAAAATGATGAAAAAAAAAATCACATGTTTGGGATAATGGCCAAAAATAAATGGTACACTAATATGGAAGAGAGGGTAAAATTGCTGGAATCAAAATAGAATACATTTGTAGGATTTGAGAGACTGTGTCTGATATACATATTAAAATTAATAAATACAAAGTAATGTCTGCTCTGCACCTCTTTTCTTTGCATCCCTTTCAAAATCTGACCCACTTAAGAATGACACCAGTTAAGCATGGATCTCTTATCTGATTAAAATAACTTGTGCTAAAGGGTGTATGAGGCTTAACATCCCATCTCAGGTCAATTATGTTTTTAAACTGGCAATAAGATAAATCTTTGATTGGAAGATATTTGGGGTGGCATTTTTCGAGCACTTGAGACATTACTTACCTGATATTTAGCTCTTTAGAGAGTAAACGAAGTTGAATTAGTCTTGTTTTCTAGTCCAAATGCCCCAACCTCAGCCCTAGATCCAGGAGAAGGGCAAAAACATTTGAAATGGAAACCAGGTGACACCGTCCACACAGCAAGGAAACCCGTTCCCACCAGGGGTGGCTCAGGGCAGCTTCTCTCCACCAGCACCTCCAGAACAGCGTCTGCTCATGACACTGAGGACAGAGCCTGGAAATGGTGTCAGGAGGTTGAAAATGAAGAAGTCACTCGCTTGGGAGCAAGCTCAGAAGGTGGATTCCCAAGGCTTCTTTCTTTCGGGAAGCAAAACCTCTTCAACTCAACAGTTCACTCGTCCTCAAAGAAAGTTATGCTCTTGCTCTGTCCCTGAACGTCTGCTGGATTCTGAACTGACTGGACTGAACCCGCGCCCTATGCGTGGTCCTAAAACGGCAGCCCTTTCCCCCTCTCATCTGAAATCACATCGTTTTAATGTCAGTTGACTAAATGAACGATACCTGCCCACAGTGCTGAATCTGAAAAGAACCCAAACGTAATCTTGCCTGGCTGGCCATGCCTATGAGCTGTGGGTTTCATAGGGTCTGACCTAAACTCGAACCCCTGACTGCAAGCCAGCCCACGAGCGACACACTCCCACCGCAAGCTCAGCATTGGCACTGAGGAAGGGGTTTCCTGGCCTGCGTAGAGGTCGCAGGGCAGACTGACTTTCAGAGGCCCACATCCCCCGTCCACCTTTAAAGCTGGCTCTCCTAAAGGAAGTGCAGTAGCCCAGCCAGCGTGGCTCAGTGGTCGTGTTGACCTGTGAACCAGGAGGTCATGGCACAGACCCGGGTTGTAGGCCTGATTCCAGTGTGGGGCGTGCAGTCAATGATTCTCTCTCATCACTGATGTTTCTCTCTCTCTTCCTCTCTGAAATCAATAAAAATATATTTTTAAAAAAGGTGCATTATACTTATGTTTAAGTATATACTAGTATGTGATATCTCATGCAGATCAGTGTGATCCATCCAAGTGAATTTATTTGTAGGATACCAGATACTCCAATTATGCACACAATTGATAAGAAATCAGGGCCTTTCTATGTAAGGGATTACATAAAAATGATTTAAAAAGATATATACCCACATGAACTGCCTGTCTGTCTCTGACGCATGTGCATGTAAAGGGTTCACAGTCTATAGACCAGTGATGGCGAACCTTTTGAGCTTGGCGTGTCAGCATTTTGAAAAACCCTAACTTAACTCTGGTGCCGTGTCACATATAGAAATTTTTTGATCTTTGCAACCATAGTAAAACAAAGATTTATATTTTTGATATTTATTTTACATATTTAAATGCCATTTAACAAAGAAAAATCAACCAAAAAAATGAGTTCACGTGTCACCTCTGACACGCGTGTCATAGGTTCACCATCACTGTTATAGAAGGTGGACATGTAATGGACACATTTGAAAACAGCTAGAACACAGCACCCTGTGTGATAACTTTCATAATTGTGCCTTCCTCCAGAGATAACAGCGTCATTATCAGGAGCGCCTGTCCTAGGAAACACGGCAAGGTTATGATTGTTTGTTACGGCTTTGGTTATATTAACATACACATTAATATTTATAAATATTTGATGCCATGTTAATTTTTCATGTAAGATGATTTATGTAACGCTGCTGTGCCCTGTTAGAGGGCATTTGCAATCTGCTTCAAAAGCAGCTGAACTGAGGCGTGTTCTGTAAGGGACCCCGCCTGTACATCACTGTTCTCACAGCGCGTTATCCCGAACAAAAGTGTCTCAAAATAAATTAGGTGAGGTGTGGATTTACTCCATTAACATGTTAAATAAAACATAAAGGAAGAGATCATGCTGAAACTGTCGGCTGCATTCTTAAAAGGTGCACTGTTCTCTGGAAGCAGGACAAAGTTTGCAGATACACTCTTGCTCCAAAACAAAGTCATCCAGCCAGCGATACGTTTGCAACATTGTTTTAAATAGCATGTGGTCTACATAGCATGCAAATGAGGATGTTCCGCCACGGATATTAACTTGGGATAGAAAACATTTGCGGTATTCTTGTTTTCTCGGTCAATTCTCTTCTGCTAAATTTGAATATTAAGGAAATTGAATATAAATGAGGCAGGTTATGTATAGTAAATAAATCAACTATGAATTATGAAATGACTATTTGCTTTAGGTGAAAAAATTAATTTGTTTTTAGAAAGTTTAAGTAGCTTTAAGCATGAAGTTACTTTACATATACAATGGGGACTTGGAGTCAATGATATACAGTATGAAGAATTATAGGTTTGTTTAGTATTATAATAATGTTTTATAACACAGTCCACCACTCCACATTACCAAATAGTATTACTGATTAAATGCTTTACTTATTTTTTCATTTTGGTAAAAAGAGCCATTGAGTAAATTATCTACAAAAACTCTAACATACCCTATTATATATGACTAGAGGCCCGGTGCAAGAAATTCATACACAAATAGGGTCCCTAGGCCTGACCGGTGATCAGGGCCAATTGGGGCCTTCCGGCTGCTGGCCAGGGCCTCCCTTACCTGGCTACGGGCTGCTGGCCAGGGCCTTCCTTCATTCCATTACACCCCCTTGTGGTCAGCGCACATCATAGTGAGCAATTGGTCTCCCAATCGAACTCCCACGGAGACAATTTGCATATTAGGCTTTTATATAGATAGATAGATAATTCATTTCCTTATTATAATGGATGTTACCTTAATATCCTTTTATCTCTCTACTGGGGGCCCAGTGCATGAAATTCGTGCACTGGGGGGGTGGGTGGGGGGGGGGAGTGTCCCTCAGCCCAGCCTGCCCCCTCTCACATACTGAGAGCCCTCAGGCGTTGACCCCCATCACCCTCCAATCGCAGGATCGGCCCCTTGCCCAGGCCTGACGCCTCCGCCAGAGGTGTCAGGCTTGGACAGGGGATCCCCATCTCCCCCCGATCACTGGCTCTGGCCCCCACCCAGGCCTGAGGCCTCTGGCCCAGGAATCATGCCTGGGCAGGGGACTCCCATCTCCCTCTGATCGCTTGCTCCACCCCCCACCCAAGCCTGACGCCTCTGACCCAGGTTTCAGGCTTGGGCAAGGGGACCATCATATCCCCCCAATCCCCGGCTCCACCCCCCACCCAGGCCTGATGCCTCGGCCAGAGGAGTTGACCCTCATCACCCTCCGATCACCAATCACTGGATCGGCCCCTTGACCAGGCCTGAGGCCTCCGGCAGAGGTGTCAGGCCTGGGCAGGGGACCCCCAGCTCCCCGTGGTTGCAAGCTCCACCCCTGCCCAGGCCTAACGCCTCTGGCCTAGGTGTCCGGCCCAGGCAGCGGGGACATGCAGTGGCAGCGGGGGGCGCCGTGATCGCACGGGCTCTGCCCCTGCCCCTGCAGGACACCTCTGGCTGAGGCGTCCGGCCCGGGCAGCGGGGACCCGCAGCTGCAGCGGCCCCATGATCGTGGGCTCCGCTTTAGGCCCAGGCAAGGAACCCCTAGCTCCTGGGACTGCCAGCTTCGACCGTGCCCAGCTCCCATCGCTGGCTCCACCCCTACTTCCTGCTATCACTGGCCAGGGCGGAAAAGGCACCTGATTCTCCGATTATGGCTGGGGGACAGGGCCCTTTGCCCTGCCCCCCAGCTCTTAGCTCCCCCCTGGGTTTCTGATCACTGTCAGTGGCAGGGGGCTTCTTCCTGCTTTCCCTTTCGCCTCCCTGCATTGTGCCTACCTATGCAAATTAACCTCCATCTTGTTGGCAGTTAACTGCCAATCTTAGTTGGCAGTTAATTTGCATAAAGCCCTGATTAGCCAATGAAAAGGGTAGCGTCGTACGCCAATTACCATTTTTCTCTTTTATTAGTGTAGATAGACAATTTTAATATTGTCAGTGGTTATACTCTTAGCAAATGTATTAACAAAACTTGAGCCTGGTGTATTTTTCTTTTTCAAAGTTTTTCAACATCCTTTTAAGTGTTCCTTTATTTCAATGAGATTCAAGTTTTCTTTACAGAGAACAAACTGAATATTTACTTATTTTTCTTTCTGTATACCCAAAATAAGACATCACCCTGTGGTATAACAGTAAGAATTTATTTAGAATTTTGGAAATTCTAATTTAAAGTACATATATTTTAAATAAAGTTATATATGCCTTGAATTAAATATTTTAGTATTTTATGTTTATCTAAAAATAATAATTGTGACTTTTCAATTGATCCCTTACATTATATTAAACTCTTAAAAACTTTAAAAAATCAACTCAAGAAATTAGCTATAATTTGACTTTGTAAAATTTGGTTTGCTCTCAATATCCAGTTTCGCAAAATTAACAATTAATTTGAGTTAAATGTAATGACTCCCTCCCCCCATATTTTTATACTCAAATGAATTCTGTCATCAGAATTATTCACATTACAAAAAAAATTGCTACAGGTCATGAGGGAGGAAAGTGCTTTAATTTAAGGTTGCCCAGAAAGATCTATGCACAAGGCATGTGAGGAAAAAGTAGGGTCAGGGTTACATTCCCAGGGGACAGACAGCTGGCACCCCACAGAATACATCATTTTCAAGTCATTTTGAATTCACATAAAAAATAAATGTAAAATAAAATCTCTCAAGGCAAATAGAAAAAAAGGCAGTCAGCAGTGGATAAATTGGGTTAAGCATAGATAATTTTTAAATATATTTTTATTAATTTCAGAGTGGAAGGGAGAGATAGAAACATCAAAGATGAGAGAGAATCATTGATCGACTGCCTCCTGCATGGCCTGGGCATGTGCCCTGACCAGAATTGAACCATGACCTCTTGGTTCGTAGGTCAAGGCTCAACCACTGAGCCATGCCGGCCGGGCTAAGCATAAGTAATTTGAGTTAGACGTAGAATAGTTGTGTTACAGATGTGGAACTTTACTAACATCCCCAATACATAGAAAATGAAAATATGGCTACAAGTATTGTTAGAGTACCACAAATCTCTTTTGTCAAATATTAACCAGAATTCACTCTTCAGAATTCTTGCTTCCTAAAAAAAGAAGGAATCAAAAATTTTAAGAGTGTGATATTATATATAATCAAAAAGTTACTAATCAATGTAATTAAAATTATCAGACTCATTGGCAGAACCACCTTTTAGAAAGAGAATGGCGCATCACCAGGCAGGAGAAACCCAGAATTAGGAGCTCTAGGTATAAAAGGAGAGCTGACGGGAAAAGGTAATCTAAGAGTGAACCCACATGAAGGTTAGCATTGTGCTTCATATTCTTAAACAAGTCTTTTGACAACTGAGATATATTTAAAAATCAGATTGAAAGATTTAATGTTGCACTGATTCCTTTATAGGTATAAATATGTATTAGGAAAACAGTAAATTAAGGAAAAGAATGTGGATTCTTAATTGTAGTATTGTTAAAGCATCCAAGAGGCCATGATACCTTAGTTTATTTTAAAACAAAGGCAAACTATAAAACTATGCTAGGACAGATAGATGTGAATAGATATAGACACATGTGCCTATCTATCTATCTATCCATCTGTCTATCCACACATACAAGGAGATACACACATGGATATATATGTGTGGGTATCTCCACATATGCAAATCTATATTGTTAGCTAATTGTTTACAACTTTCTATTGTAAAGTTTCTCAGCTAATCATAATATTACAAAGAAATAAAGCCATCATAAGAATAGCTTACAACTCCAAACTAAATTGAGTTATTTTTCTAAATTTAGGCAACACAAACTTGTTTCTTAAATACATTTGAGAGAGAGAGAGGGAGAGGGAGAGAGAGAGAGAGAGGTGTCTGAGAAGTCATAATTACAAAAATAATGTACAATTTCATTGAAATCTATAATTTATATTTGGAGACAATTTAGCTATCAAAATTAAATAAATGTTAGCACTTCCAGATAAGGGATTAACTGAATTAAAATCCTAAACTACAAAGCAGTTTTTCTAGCTAAACATGAAACAATTCTTA